ATCTTGTATCATTGAGCTAGATGAATCCATACTCTAATACCACTTGACGGTGTGGAATATACGGGAGATTAGATATCATTCTTGTAGACAAAAAAGATTCTCGAATCCACGAGAAAAATAGAATCTTAAATCCATGAGAAAAAGAAAATATCTTAGTTTTTTTTTTTTTTGAGACCACGAAAATATTTTAATTATATTGAATAAAAGTTATTTTTATCATAAAACTTACATAGTTATTTACAAGATTAGGCACAAACGATTACTCATGGTTAAAAAATGGCCTAGGTTTTACTTTTTAGCCATTAAGATTTACTTTGGACTTATGGATTGGACACATGCCCAATTATTACAATTTCGTAATTGTTGTTGTCGGGGCTGCCCGTTAAGCTAGCTGGTAGGGGTTAGCCCATTTGGGTCCAGTCTGTTACATTAGTGTTTGGGCCGAAACTTATCCCCCAAAAATATATTGTGGACTTCCCAGATGACCCTAAAGCATGTTCACAGATTGGGTGGGACCGAATTTGAGGTAGACAATTGACCCGAACCGTTCTATTCAATTCCAAAAAAGAGAACTTAACAGTTGAAGTTTTGTACCCACAACCAAATCGTAGAAATCGATTTAATTTTATGTTTTTAGGCAATTCTATTCATGAAAATTCTGATCATCAATAGAAGATTAATTAATTGTAATATAACATATAAATACCTTGAATTAAATTGATTGCAACAAAAATAATTGCTACGTAAGTTTAGAATAATATTAATATCAAAAATAAGTTTAAAGCAAAATATTTATGTTTGTTAAGGTAAAATGTTAAAAAATTGAGGTTAGAAGGCTAAACAGGCTAATTTCCCAGCTTTGTCAATACCCGATTAATATTAGTGATATATAAAAAGAAAAAATATGTGAAATTTAAATATGGAATGACGCAATTTTGTTGATATTTATTATTTTAAAGTATATTATCCGTTTAAATAACATTTAATTATAGAAATGTCACTGTCACATTATTTTCGTGATAAATTATGTATAAAACTTATATATGAAGTATTTTTTTTCATACCCAATTGTCATTTTACTTATAAATTCCAACTATTCAAAAATAATCTCACAATATTTTGATACAAAATTGATAAAATAAAAATTTTGAGAACCATAGTCACAATGTCCCATAGAGCTTTTGAAATTAGACCAATTTGATTCAAATTATTAAAAAAAAAAAAATAATATTCACAAAATTAAAATTTAAAAGACTAAAATAATGCAATACATAAATAATACATAGTCATTGACTTTATCTATATGACAAGTTAACTGGCAACTATTTTGTATTCTTAAAACATAAAGAATACATAGTCAGCCTAACGTAAAATTGGAACCACTAGGAAGCCCAGACCAAGATTCTCGTCAACTATATATATATATATAAATAAAAACATCATATTTTTATATATATTTATCGTCCATATAGCACTTGCACTAGTTCGGCTTTCATTTTAATCTTGACTTTGTATGCCAAATCCACAGTATTTCTTTATTTAATCCTTTGTACCTGATGTGAATCCTATGAAAATCTTCATTTCAAAAATGAATTATTTTAGTGTGTTTGGTAACGTTTACGTTTTCAGTTTATATTTACAAAAATTTTATAAACTGGTTTTTGTTTATTTTTTGTTTATTTTTTGAAAAAACATAAACTACAAACGCGTTTGGTAATTGACAACACACCTTTTAAGTGTGATTAAAAATATTTTGATCACACCTTTTAAGTGTGATTAAAAATATTTTGATCACACCTTTTAAGTGTGATTAAAAATATTTTGATCACACCTTTTAAGTGTGATTAAAAATATTTTGATCACACCTTTTAAGTGTGATTAAAAATATTTTGATCACACCTTTTAAGTGTGATTAAAAATATTTTGATCACACCTTTTAAGTGTGATTAAAAATATTTTGATCACACCTTTTAAGTGTGATTAAAAATATTTTGATCACACCTTTTAAGTGTGATTAAAAATATTTTGATCACACCTTTTAAGTGTGATTAAAAATATTTTGATCACACCTTTTAAGTGTGATTAAAAATATTTTGATCACACCTTTTAAGTGTGATTAAAAATATTTTGATCACACCTTTTAAGTGTGATTAAAAATATTTTGATCACACCTTTTAAGTGTGATTAAAAATATTTTGATCACACCTTTTAAGTGTGATTAAAAATATTTTGATCACACCTTTTAAGTGTGATTAAAAATATTTTGATCACACCTTTTAAGTGTGATTAAAAATATTTTGATCACACCTTTTAAGTGTGATTAAAAATATTTTGATCACACCTTTTAAGTGTGATTAAAAATATTTTGATCACACCTTTTAAGTGTGATTAAAAATATTTTGATCACACCTTTTAAGTGTGATTAAAAATATTTTGATCACACCTTTTAAGTGTGATTAAAAATATTTTGATCACACCTTTTAAGTGTGATTAAAAATATTTTGATCACACCTTTTAAGTGTGATTAAAAATATTTTGATCACACCTTTTAAGTGTGATTAAAAATATTTTGATCACACCTTTTAAGTGTGATTAAAAATATTTTGATCACACCTTTTAAGTGTGATTAAAAATATTTTGATCACACCTTTTAAGTGTGATTAAAAATATTTTGATCACACCTTTTAAGTGTGATTAAAAATATTTTGATCACACCTTTTAAGTGTGATTAAAAATATTTTGATCACACCTTTTAAGTGTGATTAAAAATATTTTGATCACACCTTTTAAGTGTGATTAAAAATATTTTGATCACACCTTTTAAGTGTGATTAAAAATATTTTGATCACACCTTTTAAGTGTGATTAAAAATATTTTGATCACACCTTTTAAGTGTGATTAAAAATATTTTGATCACACCTTTTAAGTGTGATTAAAAATATTTTGATCACACCTTTTAAGTGTGATTAAAAATATTTTGATCACACCTTTTAAGTGTGATTAAAAATATTTTGATCACACCTTTTAAGTGTGATTAAAAATATTTTGATCACACCTTTTAAGTGTGATTAAAAATATTTTGATCACACCTTTTAAGTGTGATTAAAAATATTTTGATCACACCTTTTAAGTGTGATTAAAAATATTTTGATCACACCTTTTAAGTGTGATTAAAAATATTTTGATCACACCTTTTAAGTGTGATTAAAAATATTTTGATCACACCTTTTAAGTGTGATTAAAAATATTTTGATCACACCTTTTAAGTGTGATTAAAAATATTTTGATCACACCTTTTAAGTGTGATTAAAAATATTTTGATCACACCTTTTAAGTGTGATTAATAATATTTAGATCACACATTTTAAGTGTGATTAAAAATATTTGCGTCACATCTTTTAAGTGTGATTAATAATATTTAGATCACACATTTTAAGTGTGATTAAAAATATTTGCGTCACATCTTTTAAGTGTGATTAATAATATTTAGATCACACATTTTAAGTGTGATTAAAAATATTTGCGTCACATCTTTTAAGTGTGATTAATAATATTTAGATCACACATTTTAAGTGTGATTAAAAATATTTGCGTCACATCTTTTAAGTGTGATTAATAATATTTAGATCACACATTTTAAGTGTGATTAAAAATATTTGCGTCACATCTTTTAAGTGTGATTAATAATATTTAGATCACACATTTTAAGTGTGATTAAAAATATTTGCGTCACATCTTTTAAGTGTGATTAATAATATTTAGATCACACATTTTAAGTGTGATTAAAAATATTTGCGTCACATCTTTTAAGTGTGATTAATAATATTTAGATCACACATTTTAAGTGTGATTAAAAATATTTGCGTCACATCTTTTAAGTGTGATTAATAATATTTAGATCACACATTTTAAGTGTGATTAAAAATATTTGCGTCACATCTTTTAAGTGTGATTAATAATATTTAGATCACACATTTTAAGTGTGATTAAAAATATTTGCGTCACATCTTTTAAGTGTGATTAATAATATTTAGATCACACATTTTAAGTGTGATTAAAAATATTTGCGTCACATCTTTTAAGTGTGATTAATAATATTTAGATCACACATTTTAAGTGTGATTAAAAATATTTGCGTCACATCTTTTAAGTGTGATTAATAATATTTAGATCACACATTTTAAGTGTGATTAAAAATATTTGCGTCACATCTTTTAAGTGTGATTAATAATATTTAGATCACACATTTTAAGTGTGATTAAAAATATTTGCGTCACATCTTTTAAGTGTGATTAATAACTAATAAAATCTGTGATAAAAAAAGGTGCTACATATTTGAAAAATAATCAATATTATTTTTGTATGCACATTTGAATAATGTAATACACACTATATACTATATTTTGAATCATAACCACATATTGAATAGAATAACGTCATATATTTCATAAATGAAAATTAAATATTCAAAAGTATATACAAAGGAATTAAATAATAAAAAATTAACTGTGCTTACATATATTAAAAAATGAAAAAACTTAAAAAAACTAAGTTCTTTAATTCTTGGACCATATTTTGCATCTCCAAAAAAATTCTGACCTGAAAAATAAAAACACAAATTAATCCAGAAACCGCTGATGCATATGAATAAACTAAAAAGTTAATTCAGCAAACCAAAATAGAAACATTAATTATTTTTGCTTGATCTTAATTCTTTTGGAAGTAACTTCCCTGTTAACAATTAGATGCCACAGCAGCTCAGTGTCAATGACATTGTAATTAGAAGGTCACTAATGAGCACAATATTTAAAAATGATAAATTTCAATACAGCTTGTGTACGATCTTTTTGTGAATATATATTATTATTACTGTTGAACCATAATTCTAGGTACCCATAAATAAATAAATAAAAACTCAAGAATTTACTCTTTTTTTTGGAGGGGGGGGGGGAGATACATTGCAGTTACTATCACCAGCACCAGCAGCAGGTTTTGAAGAAGCAGAAGCTGCATTTTCTTTGCACCTTTGGAGGAAAAAGAAGAAAAAACAGCTACCCATTTCATGCATGTCTATCTACCAAAGAATAACTGCAAACACTAACAATTGGCACAAGCGTATAGAAAATCATAAAGAAAATACATTATTATCTCAAAATACCTAGCGAAGCATTGTAGCCTCAGATTCAATTCCTCCAACTCCCCAGCCAACAACTCCTAAGCCAGCAATCATATTTGTATGGGAATCAATTCCAACCACGCTATCAGGGTACAGAATGCCATTTGTGTAGAAAATAACCCATCCAAGGTATTCAAGATTAACTTGAAAATTACCAGAGTCACTTGCTAAATGCCAAACCTACCAAATAATATTATAGTGCTAAAAAAATGAGAAAATTTGGACTATGATTTACAAGAGGCTAGAGGTAAATGTGGCTTTACTCTGGAAGCCCCATAAATAGTTAAACATTGCAAACCTCATGTATTGAGCCTATACCTATCTAATGTTTTGGCCCTTTTAAGAGTAAACCATTCATACCACCTTAAGGTCAAATTCTTGCACCTTGCCATGAGAATTTTCCTTTAACAACAGTATAACATCTAGATATAGAAATACCCTTGATGCACTAATGATGCCAAAGTCTTACCTGGTGGACAATACCAGAACCAGGAGGAACAATGAGCATATTGTGAAAAACATTGGAACCCCACTTCAGAAAAACAAACCTCTCCTTGTTTCTCTGAAATTCAAGCCCCATATTTGCCTGCATTGCATTCACTTCCTGCCACATCAACCTGAACAGAATTGTCAATGACAAGATCCACTGGAACCTGGACATAACATTTATGTGTGTAAACAAATATTGGTTATATTAATTTATTAGTGTAAACAAATATTAGCAAAACATGCCTTAAATCATGATACAGTTTAATTGAGTGGCAATTATTTTTTACTATGTTTTTGGCTTAACTCCAACATTGTTACTGTTTTTATGCGCTAAAATATGAAATATGTTCACGAGGCCAAGTGGTTCTTCAATCATAACCATTAATTTGAAGGCATTGAACCATAGGATGGAATAGACATCAATCGAATCTACACTAGATTTCATTCAACGGGAGGAGCATTTTTTAAATGTTGAACCCATCTTTGTCTTTTCTATGTCGTCTATATATAAATATAACTTCAAGCCAAATTCAGCCCCCACCTTCCTAAAACTTGAGGGCACAAACCACCAAACCTCTTATATTTTGAAGCCATCTTTCAACTCTCTTTCAAGAGACTACGTAGTCTTATTGGTTTTGAACGATATCAAAGAGCATGAGCAGGGTGTTTTTACCAGTGATGCAGAGAATCAAAGAGAAGTCTCCGAAGTGTGACTTAGCCATGAAAGCAAGTCATGACTCTGCTTCTACTTCTGCCTTCCCTTCTGGATCTTCTAAGCAGGTGAGAACAAATGTCGGTGCTTATAATCAATTGGCCTATAACAAAGCTGATAAGGATAGCAATGATAACAGATACAAACAAGCTGAGGAATCTCTCTGGACAGTGATGTATTTGAGCTATTGGGGTCCTAATTGAAGTGTTAACGAAATTCGAAAAGCAGATCTAACTTCAGTGTTTTTTGTAGATGGTTTTTTGTTTTGAAGCAACCTTGTTGTACATAAGAGAGTTTGTGTGTGGATGAAACATGTCTATATAGTGGACTTCAGTACTGAATGAAGAACTCTATTTCTTTTCTTATTAGATCCCACGTATCCCTGCCATTATAACATAGTATATAGATTTAACATTGTAGCAGAGAGTAGTAGAGACATCATGAATATGAGATTAAGTGATCAAATAGTGTGCTTAAACAAAGATGAGCAAGCTTAACAATAAAGAGAGTAATGTAATTCAAGTCACAAAAAGGCACAAGCACAAAGATAAAATGTAGGATGCGAGGACTTGTTACTTGGCACAGACAGAAGTACCGGCTGCAAATCCAATTGAACGGAGAAAAGAAAAAGGTTTTCTACATTGACAACAAATAACAAATAGTTGTAAGGTATGATTTCCAAGAACAAGAGCATAATTAAAAGATATCCATCGTTCCATAACAAACTTCCAATATGTAAGTCACAGTTGTTCGAATAAATTACCAATCTTAGCTGGCGCAGGAATGAATGTGCCTCACACTGATGAAGAATTGAAATGACTATATTTTTTCCCAAATACTTGAACATAGAAGCAAAAGAATGAATTGGAAAATTTCAATTAGAATTGTTAATGCCTCTAGCCTCTGGTAGATTTTCACTTGTAGTTGTTCAATGTGCTACTTTAAAACCATTGTGAAAGTAACCAAACATTTCAAATAATTTTGTTGCTTTACCACAATCAATTAGTGAATGTACATGACAATAGAAACTGAATTGCATACATTATAAACAACAACATTCTAATGCTATTTCAGATCTTGGATTTATCAAGGGAATTGAAAATGAAATTAAAGAAATAAATTCAGCTTCTTCCCCTTTATTTTCTTAGGTCTACGAATCTATAATCCAAAGCCTAAATGTGCGTGCTAGCTTAAACTATGCAAACTTTTAACCATGACTTGTATAACTCTTCTTCCTAGAGAAAAACATTGAATATATCACAATTATATAAATCTACCTCAAATACATCATCTGTTTCTTCATGTTCACAACTTCTTGGCTGCTACTTTTCTCCAATTTCATCATATCAAACAAAGCGCAACCAAAATAAATCCAAGTTTTGTGCTTTTACTAAATTAGTGCTTCTCTCTGTTTAGCTAATTTTGTTTGTCAAGGTTATGTATAAATACACGACACACTCGACTTTTGCCCATCCTTATTACTGAGTGAACTTGAACCTCTAAACCAAACATTGACATACATATAAATTATAATAGACATAAGAGAACATGAATTTACCATTCCACTGAGAATTAGATTTCTGGAACTTGATTGAGCTGATTCTAGTTTTTCCATTACAACTAAAGACCACATATGGAAATCAAAATGTATGACCCGCAAATTAAATTCTATCAATATAATAAGGCATGTGCTTTGTAGAAAATAGAAATGCAGCACAAAGAAGAATTTTGGCCCATCACATTAACAAACTATAATGCTTAGAATAACATATAATTTTAATCTCTAATGCTTATGAACTGTAACTAATGTTGAACATACTCTCACTATTACAAATTAAAAAATAATAAATAAATTTAGAGAGAGAGAGAGAGAGGAAAACATAAACCTTGCCTGCTCATTAACAAAGCGTGCTGAAACAGAATTCAATGAATACAATCCCTTTGCATAACCTGCACAATTAGAGTGATAGTATAAATTTCCGGTTTTGATAAAATCTTCATGAATATACCACCATGAACCAATCTGAGAGAGCATAGAAAACAATCCCAATGAGCATAACTTGAAGCAAATCAAATTGAACTCTCCCCATTAACTGTAGCTTCTTTGCTCTCCCTCGTTCCATTGGTCTATAATCCCACAAATATCAAAAAAGTAAACATCTCAATCCTACACATCACATCAACATCAATGGTAGGAAATTATTATTAATTTTTTTCCCCTTTCCCCTTTTCAAGCTCCTTTAGTTGGGTCTTTGACATCAAATTTTGTTTTCCATTTGTTTGTGATCTTCATTTATAATCTATTTCTAAACTCCAAAACCACTAATTGTCATTTAAATAGTTTGTTTTCATGTCGAAGGACACCTGAAATTTGACATTGTTCGTGATTCTTTCGTAACTTTCTGTTATACGTCAAAAATGCAGGAACTGACCTATTTTTCTTGAAACCTGAAAACGAGGTTGCATAACCCTCAAGATACTTTCTATGCTTGGTCTACTTCTCATTTTAAGCTTTGTTATTCTCAATTTGGAACTTTTATGCATGAGAACTCCACAACAATTGTTCCAATTTCAAGATAGCAACAAACCAGTAGAAGGGAGGAGAAAACCAAAGCAGAAAATCAGCAAAACAGAGCAGAAAATCAGAGAATATGAAGGACAAGAGAAGAAAACTAGAACCTGGAAGCAAAAGGAAAAAAATTAGCAGAAAAAATGACCTAACAAAAAAAAATAAAATTCTGAAATAGTGAGCTGGAAAAAGAAGAAATGGGAGGAAATGAAGAGAAGAGAAGAAAAATAATGAGGTTCTGCCCAGATATAAATGTCATTAGGTGTTCAAGGTAACAAGCAGCAATGAAGACAACCATAATCAATATCTATTCCCAGAATTTTGACATAACCAGAATTAATTCAGAAACTCTTACATGTTCCCTTTTTAAAAATTTACAAATTTCAATCAAACCCCATTTAAATTATGGCCCATTCCTACAAGTTTGGGTAATCTAAGCTGGTTCATGTTTTCTATGCTATTTTTTGTCAAACATTACAATACACACCCAACATAAGGACTGAATCAACAGAATATCCAATAGAAAAACAAAACAACAAAACAAAATCAAGTGGGTCTAGAACAAGAAACACAACAGGCCATAAAAACAACAAAACAAATCAAAGTGGGTCTAGAACTAGAACCAGAAACACAACAGCCAATAAAAATAAAATAAACTAATAAAAAAATAAAGAAATTTAGGAGATGTGGTGAAGGTGGTGAATACATATACGTGCATAGACAGGACTATACATTGCTTTGCGAACGGCTAGGGTTCGTTTGCCCTGTCAGCTGTTCCTCCGCCGCTCGCCGTCGATCGATCGAGAGAGAGAGCGGGGGGAGAAGAGATTATGAATTTTTGGGTTTGAGATTGGGGATTTTTTTGTTTTGGGTGGGGGGAGATGAGCGGGAATGAAAAAAAAAAGGGTGGGGAGGGAGCGGGAATGGAAAACAAAAGGGGCGGGACTAAAAAATAATTTTTTTATTTTTTTTGTCAAAAATGAAATTTAAATAATAAAATAATATTGTTTAATTTTTTTTTTCGCAACGGGGTTGCCGTCGTCAAAAAAAATTATTTTTTGTTAAAATATGTATTTTTTATAGTTAATGAATTTTTTAAAAAAAAAATCTTTTTTTTTAGTTACTAAGATTGAAAATTTATTTGTTTCATTTTTATTTTAATGAAAAAAAATATTATTATTTTTTAGTTGGTAGAAGTAGGGATAAAAAATATTTTTTTTTTGTCAGAAATGAAATTTAAATAATAAAATAATGTCGTTTAACTTTTTTTTTTCTTTTTTACAATGGGGGTTGCCGTCGTTAAAAAAATTTATTTTTTTTAAATATATATTTTTTTGTAGTTAATGAATTTTTTTAAAAAAAATTCTTTTTTTTAGTTACTAAGATTGAAATTTTATTTGTTTCATTTTTATTTTAATGAAATAAAATATTATTATTTTTTATTTGGTAGAAGTAGGGGTAATATTTTAATGAAAAATATTTTCCACTAAAATAAAAGTTAATTTTCTGTGGTCAATGAAAAATATTTTTCTACGGCCCATTTTTTTTGTTATTAAAAATCATGAACTAAGTTTTTGTGATAGAGAAGAGGAAGTGGCAGTAGTGGTGAAGCTGGTGGATAAGAGATGATGGTGGTGGTGGTGGCGGCGGCCACGAAGGAGATTAGTGGTGAAGTTGTAGTAGTGGTAGAGTAGATGAAGTAGCAAGGGTGAAGGAGAGGCAATGGTAGTAGTAGTAGCAGTAGTGGTAGTGGTGGCAATGGTAGTAGTAATGGTAGTCGTAGAGGTGAAGTGGCGACAGTGGTAGTAATGGTGGTAGTGGAATGGCGTTTGCAGTAGTGGTGAATGTGGTAAAGGAGATGGGTGGTGAAAGAGAGAGAGAAAGAGACAAAGACAGAGTGATGAGCGAGAGAGAGACAAAGTAGTCGCTAAAAGTGCATTTTCTTGTAGTGGATAGATAAATTGAGAGGGAGCTTAGTAAATAGAAAAAACAAGAGGGAGAGAGTGAGCAACGCGAACACAGTGGGGGAGAGAGAGAGAGAGAGAAGGGACAAAAAGATAAAGAGATAGAGAGTGAGAGACAGAAAAAGAGACAGAGAGAGAAGAGAGATGAACGAGAGAGAGAGATAGAGATGAGAGAGATGAGCGAGAGAGACATAGAGAAAAGAGAGATGAACGATAGTGACAGAGAGAGAGATAGAGAGAAAAGAGATGAGTGAGAGAGACAGAGAGAGATGAGAGATGAGAGATGAGCGAAAGAGACAGGGAGAGAAAATAGATGAGAGAAGAGATAGATGAGTGAGAGACATAGAGAGAGAGAGAGAAATAGACAAAAAGAAAAAAGTGATGAGTGAGAAAGAGAAAAAGAAGAGAGAGAGGAAGATGAAAAAATTGGTGAAAAGATATAGACAAAGAGAGAGAGAAAAAAAAGAACGAAAGAGATAAACGAGAGAGAGAAAGAGAGAGATGAGCGAGAGATATAAAGAGAAGAGAGATATAGAAGAGAGACAGAGAGAGAAGAGAGATGAGAGAGATAGACAGAAGAGAGATGGACGAGAGACACAAAGAGAAAGAGAGAGAGACAGACAGACAGATAGAGAAGAGTGATGAGTGAGAGAGAAAAATAAGAGAGACAAAGACACAGAGAGAAAGAGAAAGAGAAAGAGAAAGAGAAAGAGAAAGAGAGAGAGACAGACAGATAGAGAAGAGTGATGAGTGAGAGAGAGAGACAGAGAGAAGAGAGACAGAGACAAAGACAGAGAGATAGAAAGATGAAAAAATGGGTAAAAAAGTTCTGTGTCTAAAGCCTCATTTTCTAGGAGTGAGTCGTCTCTATCATTCATGGGTAGAATAGAAGCGCGGATTTGGGAATTGTATATTTTATATAAAAATCAAATTGAAATATTTTATACAATCACACCTATTTATGGAGTGTGATTAAATATATATATATATATATATAATTACACTTATTTAAAAAGTGTGATTAAAAAGTAGTAATGTATATATAATCATACTTTAATTAAAATGTATGATTAAAAAAATATATACATAATCACACTTAATTGAAAAGTGAAATAAAAAATGAATATTATCACAAAAATATAAACATAGTTTATTTCTTAAAATGATAAATGCAATAAATTGAATAAGTTGTAATTATCAAATTGACTTAATTTTTGTATGAATGAAATATACGAAGTGTCCAACAAAATAAACAATATAAATTATAAAAATAGGATCCGTAGTGAACTCAACAGGTCCAAACAGAGCCTACAATCTAGATTGTGAAACTAAGGAAATCCTCCAATTTCAAAACCCAAAGATATATATATATATATATATATAGAGAGAGAGAGAGAGAGAGAGAGAGAGAATTGTCCCATTTATCTTGAACTTGAAATTAAGTTTTTTTATTTTTATCAAACTTAAAATTAAGTTGGCAGTGAGTGTTAATGTCAACAAAGGAAACAGTTGGCAACGCGGCTCCCACTCTCCTTGGGAAATTCCATCTCCATTATCTCTTTCATTTATATATATGTATAGATGTATAATGTTACTTCAAACTCTGCCGATTCAATTTGATTGTGAGTACCATATTTTGTTGGTTTGTTTGTTTGTTTGTGTTTAATCTATGTGACAGTGCTTGAGGTCACCTGATTTATGAAAACTTCTAACAATTTATAGCATTAAATTAAAGCTAATTTATCGTTCACGTTTGACACGAATTCTTTTGTGTGTTCGTCTAACTGTTATTGTTCATCTTTCACAGAAAGCGAGAGGAAGAACATAATTAAACGCAAAAATGCTGTCATTTGTGAGAATCTTCGGTAATAAGTATATATTTATCGAATTGCTTAGTAATTTAATCCATTTTGATGTAGTATATGGAGTGCTAACATGTTGGTTCCTATGATAGTTCTGATGTGGGCTGACTTCCTAGCCGGGTACGCCATGTGGATGATGATGCTATACTTAACAAATGTTTGGAAGCTCAACTTCACGGTTGATGCTATGGTACATTTAGGTGTATCATACATTTAGTTATGAACTTATATAATTTTATATCATAACCTATACCATATTAGTCATAACTATCACCATATTAACTCATAACTTAGTTATATTCAATTATTTACTTATACCATATTACTTCATAATCAGGTCATTAAAAGTGACCTGCTAAACAGGTCACTTTTTATAGTTATGAGCTAAAATCATATTTCTTCATAACTATAATCAAATTGATCATAACTTAGCTATAACTACATCTCATAACAAATACCATTTTGTTCATAACTATTATCACATATTTCATAATCACATCTCATAATCAACACCATTTTAGTCATAACTAACATCACATATTTCATAATCATAATCACATATCTCATAACCAACACCACTTTGATCATAACAAATATCACATATCTCATAACTATTGATCACACATCTCATAACCACATCTCATAACTAATCCCTTTGAGTCATAACCAACATCACATATCTCATAAACACTAGTCACATATCTCATAACCAACACCTTTTTGTCATAACTAATATCACATATCTCATAACCACTAATCACACATCTCATAACTACTACCCACATACATCATAACCACATCTCATAACCAATCCCTTTGAGTCATAACCAACATCACATATCTCATAACCACTAGTTACATATCTCGTAACCAACACCTTTTTGTCATGACCAATATAACATATTTCATAACCACTAATCACATATCTTATAATTAACACCTTTTTACTCATAACCACATCGCTTTGATCATAACCAACATCACATATCTCATAACTACTAGTCACATATCTAATAACCAACATCACATATCTCACAACCACTAGTCACATAACCAATATCTCATAACTCATAACCATTAATACATATAGCATAACAACACCATTTGACACCACTTTGCTCATAACCATTACCCACATATCTCATAACCACTAACATATATAGCATAACCAAACACCCTTTGACACTACTTTACTCATAACCAACATCACATATATCATAACTACTAATCACATATCTCATAACCAAACACCCTTTGACTTATAACTATACCACTCTGCTCATAACCAAAATCACATATCTCGTAATCATTAATCATATATCTCATTACCTTTACCCATATATATTATAACCACATCTCATAACTAGCACCCTTTGTTTCATAATCAATATCACATATATCATAACTACTAATCACATATCTCATAACCAAACACCATAGGGGGGTAAATTTAGCCCATGAGCTCGCGGCACACCCCAAGTCTGCTCGTGCCCTGGGTAGGCCTAACTAGGCTTGAGTCTAAACCCAACCTAAGACCCTGAGCTATGTGTTCTAGAGCCCGACCCGACCCTGGTGTGTTATGGAGTGTGACCCATCCCGTGAGATCGCCCCGAAATTTTCTTTCCCATCTAGCTCGACCTGACCCCAATGGCTCCTTGCCCCATTGTCAGTGCAATGCTCAAAAATTTAAATCAAAACAATTTGAAAGAGTCATATAACCGTTAATTCTACCAACAATCAATTTTATTTATTTTTATTTATATATATATATATATATATAAATTAACTCCTCCCTCCCAAGTCCTATAAATACCACCCCTCTCACATTTTATTTCTCACAACAAATTTGTCTCTCAAACTCTCATTCTCTCTAAACTTTCATACATATACAAATCTTTGGCCGTAGTTATGATTTTATCAATTTGTACATATCTTATAGAACTGTTGAAAATGAATATTACGATTTTGTTGTATTGTTTTGCTATCTCAGCTCTCTTCATCTATCAAACATCTCTCTCATTCCTTACTGTCACTGTAGATATCTCCGATGTTCCTTATCGGAAACAACACCATCTTTGACATTATTTTCACAGACGACAAGTCCGTTCAGTCTCTCTTACTCATATTCCCTTTCCTTTCGCTCTATTGGTTAATTTTCTCTAACTCTCATTTTCTGTTCCATGGCTATAAGTCGTGGATTAAATTATTTGATTATTGTCATTACATTCTGTGTTTATCTGTATCATTAGAGATCCCGATTGGTGATTAAATTATTTAAAAAATTTAGATGTTTTTGTTACACCAATTAGTGGATAGTTACATAATTTTTGGTTAATGTTATGAAATTTTGGAAATTAGTTACGATATTTGTGATTTTCTAGAATTTTAAACAATCTCGTTACGCCAATTAGTTATGCAGTTATGTATTTTCTATTTTATATCACAAAACTTTGTGACTTGATTACAATATTATGGTATGTTTGGTAACTATTCCGTTTTTAGTTTTCAATTTATATTTATAAAAATTTTAAAAGCTATAAAAGGCCTGTCACCTTTCTTTATCCTTTTCATTGCTGTAAAAGGCCAAGACCCTAGATTGAGAAGGGTGTACCAACTGAACTCTTCAAGATGAAAAAAATAAAATTCTCGAATCATAGAACATCGATGATAAAAGTAAACAAGAGATCGACAATAACAAGGCATGCTGCCAATTAGTTCCAATTGACGTTTTGGTGGCAAATGCTACTGTGCAAAGAATTGTCAGAGCTAAAATGATGGTTTGGCCATTTTCAAGAGAATATTTTATGGGAAAAGACGATTGAATAATGGCATTCAATTTTCTATACGCACTTGCTGTTGCGCATTTGCTTCGAAAATGAGCGAAAACACTAAAAAAAATGGCTTCATAGCCTTTGCTAGAAATTTATACAAAACAAATATCCATCAAAATACTAACAGATTTAAGTCCATACAACAAAACAAATATCCATCAACCATCGTTTAAGAGTATTTATACAAAATACTAACAAATTTAAGTCCTCAATTTTTTTTTTTAAAAAAAAATCTTAGTTTAGCTCCAATATCACCTGGTCGATCATAGCAACTATTACCCATAGCAACACCTGCAAAAACAAATTAAATTGTCGTTAAGGTTTGTTCACTTGAAATTTATGATTCAAATCACAACAAATTGAATTTTGATATATTGGTCATTACACACTCTTTTTTCATTTTGTTTTCGTAAATTATTTATTTTCATAATCAAGTTGTGAACATCATAATTAGTTATGACATCAAAATGTTCTAGCTAAAATCTATCTTCGCATATCAAGAAATTAGAATTAAGCAGCCACATAAAATTTGCAAAGCAAATGTAAGCAAAATGAACATAATTTGAACTGAAAAGATGCCATAAAAGTAATCACCTAGAGACGTATCCACATTAATGAACGCTGAATTTTGGACGACTTGTGCATCGCAACTACGCAAGTCATTAACATCCTTGCTCAACTGCACTGGAGACGTATCCACATTAGTGACAAAAAGTCGTCTCTTCACAAGGTGGGTCTTACATGGCCTAATATTATTCCTGGGACGCTTCGGTGTAAAAGGGGTGGGAGTACCAATTGGATCATAATCATCCTATTCCTCAAACAAATTGCTACCCACTTGTCCCGTTTTATGATCGTTTTGGGGGCAAGTTCTCCTTGTGTGGCCGACGACCCTACATTGTCAAGTAAATCACCAATCATTAAAGAGAACAAAAATGTCAACACTACCTCACAATAACAAAATTAAGACACAAAGCACAATACAATGTATACCTGCAACACTGGCATCGCCTTAGCTTTCGAGGTTTAGCCATGTAGGATCCCCCAGTATTCCCCTTCGTGTTCACTACTTTCGAATCCCCAACCCCAAATGGCGGCAGTGAACTTTTTCCTTCATCAACATTAGTTCCCTTGGCCATGCAATGCTGCTTCATCCGACATGTCATAGTGAAAAATGCATTCCTAGCCTCTTCAAATCCTTCAGATGTTTGTGAGGCATAGTAACACATTTCAGTAAAAGAAGAGCAAAGTACCCCAAAACGCGTCTCCTGTGTGAGAGTGCTAGAGAATTGGGCTTGGCACTGTTGTTCACCAACCTTTCTTGCTTGCTTTGTCCAACGATACATCACACAACTTGGGAGAATTTCAGTCATGTGTTCGCACTTCATCACAGAAATCATGTGGCTGCAAGGAAGTCCAAAGAACTCAAACTTTTTGCAACTACATTTCATTATGCTAGTTGCGGGATGGTATGACACTTCCCATGTGGAACCAAATTCAGTGTACTTTGAAAATTTGTATATGCGATGATCGAACTCCTCTTTCCTTCCATCAAAAATCAACAATGCTTCCTCAATTATTTCATTACGGAACATTAAGAACAAACATCTGGTAAAGATGGTTGCTGCATGTTTCTCTAGAGGCTGAAGTGTTGTGGTAAGACAAGGATCACTGTTGTCAGTTTTTGCCTCGGCATCCGCTTCTTTGTTCCGTAATCGATAAAGGGCCATGTCAAAACATCTAACAAATTCGAATAGTTTCAGTTTTCATTTGAGGCACTCATTGAAAAAAGCATGCATACCCTCACAACGCTGACTGCTCTTCATTCTAGCAAAAAAATGACCACGCAAATATGACTGAGCCCACATGCCTTTGTTGTTATAGGTGTCTGATACCCACTTGTTATTTTGAAGGCCATATTTTCTGACCATCTTACTCCAAGCTTCCTCAAATACAACCTCATTCGCATCAAGATCCATGAGATGCTTGAAATGTCTTTCAAATCCATCGACTCGAACATTTCGCTTGGCATTTCTGTGCATATGCCAATTACATAGATGATGCTTGGCATTTGGAAAGACTTTTTGTATTGCCTCACGCGTGGCCATATCCCCATCTATCAACACTGACACCGGTCTTTTGTTATCCATGGTTTCTAACAACTTCTGCAAAACCCATGTGTATGTTGCAATTGTCTCATCAACAAGCAAGCTGCATGCAAATATGGTGGTTTCAAAATGGTTATTGACCCCAACGAAAATAACAAAAGGTTTGTTATATGCATTCGTTTTATAAGTCGTATCAAAGACCAACACGTCACCAAATGCAGCATAGTCTAGGCGAGACCTTGAATCTGCCCAAAACAATTTGCCAAGCCGGTTCTCTTGATCCTTGTCATACTTGTAAAAGAAGTAAGGGTTAGCATCAGCTTTTGCACATAAGTAAGCCAAAGCACACTCCGCGTCACCATCCTTCATTTCTATTTTGCGCTCGGCTTGAATATAATTGTGCAAATCCTTGTGAATAAAGCCCACATTCGTGAAAGACCCAGATTGTTGATTACGTGTGTGTCCGTGTTATTTGGTGTTGTATTATGTTTTTGGAATAGGTGTTGGTCACCTGCCACAACCCTTGTGTTAGAGGTTTGGAGTATGGCTCGCCACGTGGCATGCTCAGGGTGTTTGTTGGGTGCCACAACATTGGTAAGTACACTAAGGCTTGTTGTACTTTTTGCATTGAACTGAAACAACCCATTTAAAATGAATGACCCCAATGTTGCACCACACACATTGATTTAAACACATGAACCCAATAAAAACATTGAATACGAATGTGCCCAACACAGACAAATGACCTCGGTGTGGCACACCATACAATTGAACTGGCATATGTACGCAACATAGCTATCTTAACACGCAATCACCAAAAACAAACCATGCCTTCAAAATTCCAAGAATGTCGACAGCGGAATTCCAATTCTCCGTCAGTTCGGCACACAAAGCACCTCCCACACACCCCGTCACAACAATCACAAAACCCTAATGTAATGGAGGAAACATCTTCTACTACAATTTTTGACTTGCCAAATATGCACAACTAATCCCACCAAAAACATCCTAATAGAAAAGGAAGGGTATAATTGACCACTAAATGTTACCAAATAAGAGAAATAGGATCAAACGGGAAGATATTTCCCCACTAATAGGACTAAGGAAAATGACTTAGACCCCCAGCTGGGGGTGCTGGGGGTCGTCCCTGATTGGTGCAAAAATAGTTTTTTTTTTTTGGATTTCAGCCAACCACACGCTGCCACGTCACTGGGGGTGCCACTGGGGGTCGAAAGCAATGCCCATAGGACTAATTAGAACAACAGATGCAACGTTGGGACCAATTGGTGCAACTGTCTGTTGAATGGGATTTATAGGTAAATATCCCAAAAATTTAATTGAAAAAAATATCCCAACAGTTCTATAACATATGTACAAATTGATAAAATCATAACTACGGCCAAAGGTTTGTATATGTATGACATATTAATGCGAAAGAGCCAGAGTTTTGAGATAAATGTATTTACTAGATAAAGAAATGTCACCAAAATGAATAGTGTTGAAATAGACAAAGAAAATAGTGACGAGTTCAAGGATCTATTGCAGAGACACAAGAGTATAGAGAAGAAGAATCCAGTGAGGAAGAACTATCAACGATGGTCGTTCGATGATTCAGCGAAATAGAGAAGTCTGATTAAGAAATAGAGAGAGCTCAGGCACAACTAGGACAAATCAAGAGAAAGAAAATTGAGTGGAGAAAAAAATGAAGAAAAGTTGGGAAAAAAATTTAGGAGAAAAATTATTTAGTGCAACAAAATAAAATCACGTCATAGATAATTTTTATCAGCATATTTTTTATTAAAATTTAGTTAAATTATAAGCGTCTATAAGTGTATATAGATATTTTAAAAAGTATATCGTATGTACATTACTATTTCTATTATATTTAATGAAGATACTATGACTAAAAATAAATCTAAAATAGAGATAGGTGATCAATTGCAATTGTCACTTAGGGATGACACTTCAAAATTAATTGAGAGAGTTGAGAGTTTAGAGATAATGAGAGTTTGAGAGACAGATTTGTTTGTGAGAAATAAAATGTGAGAGGGGTGGTATTTATAGGACTTGGGAGGGAGGAGTTAATTTATATATATAAAAATAAAAAATAAATAAAATTGATTGTTGGTGGAATTAACGGTTATATGACTCTTTCAAATTGTTTTGATTTAAATTTTTGACCATTGCACTAACAATGAGGGCAAGGAGCCATTGGGGTCAGGTCGAGCTAGATGGGAAAGAAAATTTCGGGGCGATCTCACGGGATGGGTCACACTCCATAACACACCAGGGTCGGGTCGGGCTCTAGAACACATAGCTCAGGGTCTTAGGTTGGGTTTAGACTCAAGCCTAGTTAGGCCTACCCAGGGCACGAGCGGACTTGGGGTGTGCCGCGAGCTCATGGGCTAAATTTATACCCCTATATTGTGGAGTGACCTTGAAAGTCCGATTGAAATCACGTTTAGCCGGTGTAGCTTCACATCTGAAATTCTCTGTCAACTTCATGGAAATGAATAGGTTACCGTACCGACGACCTTAGATGAGTATTTGGCTTACGGTTGAATATGTCGTGTTATGTTCCGAGCTAACTACTATTACCCCAAGTATTATCCACCTTTGTCATGTGACTTAAGGAAACGATGATGAGAAGTATAAATGATGTGGAAGTTGTTGAATCTTTGTAAGAAAAATACACAAAGTGGAAGAAGTATCAGAAAATATAATGAAACCTATGCAAACATGTCATGAGAAACGACAAAGATAAAAAAAAAAAAAAAAGAAGTTAAATGTGGAATTAACAATAGAATAAAAGAAGATATTTATAAATTTTGTAGTACGAGAGGCAAACAATCCTAAGCAAAGTCGTAAAGAAATGAGCCTACCCCCAACATGTCCAATGTATAAAAAGCCACATAGACAGTTATGTCATCGACTTATGAGGATACTTTAATAGGACATCGAATAAGAAATTGTCAAGAGGAAAAAAATAATAATAATAATAATAATAAAAATTACAAGTCAATCAGATCAGATCGAAGATTGGTACTTCATAAATAGATTAAAAAATAAATAAATAAATAAACATTGCTAGTCAATGCAGAAAGTACTGAATTAGAATTGACACCTTTCTAAATATTTGAATTGATTGTGGGTAAATTTAGAAATCATCTACTTGAGCATTCGAAACTTGATACGAGATTGTTAAGATAATTAAAATGAGATTGTTAAATGAAAACTATTTGTGAGTGAAGTGTCAATATATTAAAGGATTCAAGATCCATCCATTCATTTAAAGTCAATTGTTATAAGATGAATGTATTATTGGGGTTGTTATTGTGTAAAATTGTTTCATCGCTAGTAAGAGAATTATATTATTTGGGAACGTTATACTATGAGTATGGCCCAATACCTTCGATATGGACCCTAGAATGTAATGTTGAATGTGAATGGATTTTCGATCTATCAAGTGAATGTGATCATACACCTAAGTGAGTCGTCTTTGACTTCTGAGATTAAATAGTTATCTTGTGGAACCAATGGAGAAAAATTTTCCCCAACAATTTGACTTGATGGCTTATGAATTCCATAAAAACAAATAACCAAATTATTGTGATCAGAAAATTTGTGGATTTAAATTTGTTATTGAGGTTGTATCACATACCCAATCCATTTTGAAGACTTCATAAGAGATGTTAATAGGAGAGTACTTTAATTTGTTAAAACTAAGTAACATCATGAATATCATTTGTCTATTTGGAGACATGTGGATTATTGGAAATATAAAGATTATTATAAGATATGTGAATAACTAAATAAAAGTATATGTGATTGATAAGAGTAGTATGTTGGGATTAATGTATTTTGTGGCTTAATATTCCGAGGATTACTTCGAGGTTTGCTATATTTTACTAAATAGCTTTTGATATGAATTAGGACGAATCACAATTTGGGTTATTAACCACTAAATGAAAATGAGCTAAACTCATGTGATGAGACAATTGAATGATGGGGAAACCGAATGATGAGGAAAGTTACTTGGAAAAAGCAAGGCCATATGATTAGTTTTCAGGTACAAACACCTTAAGTTTGGAGGACCAAACTTTCGAAGGAGGAGAGATTGTGACGACCCTGCCGCGTATAATATTTTACATTTAATTAATTTTTATTCTAATTTAATTGTGGAATTCTCAATAAACAAGTCCGAACTAATTGAATAATTTTAATTTTCGTATAATTATATATATATATATTTATATATATATTTTGCAATTTATTTAAATCATTTGTACCTAATAAGCTTACCCATATAATCGGTCACTAGGCGGCCATTGGTAAACCTTCCGGTGGCAATGTGGTTGGGAAAGTCCTTCCCGTAAGGCGGAAAGTTACTCTTAAACACCGTCTCAATGTAGTTGTTGTTTCCAGGGTCGACCGTCGAGTCTCCGAACACGAAAACAGCTGTGATTGAGTGGTTCAAAGCCGTTTGTTTTGTTAGTGTTTGAGCTCTTGAAGGTTTTGACATGAAAAGAGAAACAGAGACAATGAAAAGTAGTGTAAGTAGTAGAAGATGTTTATGTTGTGGTTTCATATTTGATGAAACTCTGAAATGCAATCACAGAGAAAGAAATGTAAAGATTTGAAGAAAAACTTCAACTCTCTGTATATGGCTAGCTCTTGGATGAGATGAGAATTGAGTGGATTATATATAGTACAATAATTCTAGTTATTCGAAAATTTTATTTAGGATTTTATCCAAAAAAGTGAACTTAATAATCACATTAGGGTTGGTTTGAGAAGTGGATTGGCTTTTTAGTTTTTTGACTTTTTTGGTTATTTTAGCATGTGCTTATGGATTGGATGTGATGTTTTGTGAGAGAATAGTGTAATGATTATGGATTGGATGTGATGTTTTGTTTGTTGTGGCTAAAATAGCCTATTTTGTCTTTTATGACTAAAATAGCCAAAAAAGCCCACAACCTATCTTCCCAAACGGAGCCACGTTTAAGTATTATTAGAAGGAAGTGAAATTGAATGATTGTTCCATTAAAATATTCAATTTCATGTTTGGTTAGACAAAATAAATAAGGAAAATGCTACCTTACCACAAAAATGTGTAAATTTATCATAAAATTTTGTAAAATTAATCACAAAATGTGTAATATCATCACAAATGGGCATAACAAAAATCAAACTATAAATTTTTGTAACATCAACTATAAAATTTTAGATATTTTGTTACGCCAATTTGTGGCGAAATTATCCATTTTGTAATAAAGTTACACCATTTTTTGGTAAGGTGGTGCACACCATAGGATTTTTCAAAAAATAATGTTAAATATAGGATTATTTACCAATAAATCTCATCTCACAGACAGTTATATCAATCAATCTCCAATTTAATCTGTTGATCCGATAAGTCCCATTGGTGGAGAAATTTGTTCTGTTTCATCCTATTTTGCATGCCTGGTGTTGCTGCGTGGACTATTTTACCCTTCACTTTGTTGTGTGGGACGTGAATCATGGAATTTCGTTTTGTTTTTGGTTATGTTGGACATCATATTTGGTAAGTCGAATGTTACTTCCACAGACGAGTCACCCATTTTCGTTAGGGTTTTGTGTTTTGACAT